CAGAGCACGAATCAGCCATCTTGTGTCCCACATAGATCTGTCCCACCTGCATCTTTTGTGCACTATCCTGCCTCTCTGTGTCTGTAATGGATCTCATGTCATCACCATATTCCATGAGATGAGAATACTTCCAATGAATTGTCTTCCCTGAGGAAGCTGCAGATAGAGGGTGCTGCAGCGCTGGGACCAGGGCAGGCCTCAAGAGGAGATCTCTGCTCATCTCCATCAGGAGGCAATGGTTGTTCAGGGTAAGATCCAGAGAGGATGGTCACCATCTCGTATGCAGGTGCTGCTAGGAGTGATTGGACTGGAGGGCTACAAAGGGCAGCTGGTTCTAAAATGAGTGCGACTCTGCTCTCTTGCTCTGAAGACACCAGTGTCCCAGTTATAGAGTGGTGCCTTGCACTGAGGGTTCCCCAGCAGCTGAGTTCTCCTATTAAAAGTCGGGTGGACCAGCAGATGGACCTGACACCAGTCAGAGGAAATGAACTCTCACCTGCTCTCTACAGGCCAATCAATGATGGAGACAAGTGGACTGTTGGCATTAGTGTAACAACAACATGCAGGACATGCTGCAAAGAACAGGGTCATGTGATTTGGACTGGGGAACTGGTGACGATGGTTGCCATAATCTAGTTCAAGCATCATGTACCTTGTGCGTTAAGGTGAAGGCAGGAGGCCCTTGACTGACATCCCCCAACGCATGGCCATGCATGTGTCAAGAATTAATGCTGCACTCACCTGGTGATCGAGAAACTGGTGCGCTCTGTGGCTGGCTGTCACTTTGGTGTCCAGATCCCACGTTCTCTAACAGTGCACGTGGAGATGTCCCTTAGGACTCTCCTCACCTGGGGGGTTAGCATAGGGGTGTCCCCTGCGGACCTGCCAGGCACACTGCCATCGTTGGGCTCTGTTCAGCAGGACTCTCTTACCATTCTAAGACTGTCTGCCAGAGCCACCGGCTGCACCAACTTTGCACTGAGTCTGTGCCTCACTGCTTGCCCCAATGCGTGTTTTAACAGCACTCAGCTTAATTTCATCCAGTATGTGCATGGGCACCACTGCAGAGAAACATCATTAGCAGAGTAATTGCTTGTTAGGGGACAGTTATCTGATCATGGCTGTGCTATTTAACCATTGGGATTTCTAACAGTTGCATGCAATGGAACATGGCAATGTCTGTGTGTCAGGGGGCTGTGAGTGCCAGTGGGGGTTCCATGAAACAGGGATCATTTATGGATGCCTTGTGAAGGACAGGCAGTAAAGGTGAAGAAGGGGAAGACGTCCTTAGCCTTGCAGCTTTATTAGATGTCTAACTAGAGACAATTGCCAAGATTTTCCCAGGAGGCAGACAAATTTTCAGCACCCTAGCACCTCTTAGCTTTGAAAATTCCACTGGTTACAAGAGCAGCCAACAAGCAGCTCTCTGCTTTCCTACTGCATGTTCCACAAGCCATTTTGAAAATCCCACTACAGATGTGCTTGCAATCCTTGATGTCAGTCAAATTTTACATCCACTTGTGCTGTTTATTTTCACTGTATGACACACACACAAAGCACTGTATAATTTACCCTAAGGGATTTCCTGCAGCTTGGGTGCTTGCTGGAAGGACCGCTGTGTCATTTATTAAATGGAATGACTCTTTAAAAGATAGAGAATTTCACCAGTGTGATCAGTGATTACCAAATCTGGCAAGGCCTGTTATTATGACTGCTATTTAGTGGCCTAGGTAAAATGGATTGGTGGATCCCAGTTCATTCCCAAGATATTCCCTCATCACAAAACAACCTTGCAACAGACATGTTGTCTCCTTTGCATTAGATTACTATTTTGCATTCTACTTAGGCCTACCCATGAAGAACACTTGTATATTTCAGCTGCTGCAGAGTATGGCTACCCATTTACATAGTGATGCTTCTCTGATGGAGATGGCTGTACATATGCACTGGCTTCTGATTTGTTTCCAAACGCAATTCAAGGCGTTAGTTGTGATTTATAAAGCCTTTTATGGTTCAGATCCTGTGTATGTGAGAACCTGCTCCCCACAGTGTTTTACCCCAGTAGTTGTGATAATTGGGGGGCGCTGGAGCTAAAAATCTGCAGCTGTTTTTGTCACAGGACAGGTGGCCAGAGTTCTGAGTGGAAGGCCCTTAGCTCTGGAACTCATTTATTATTTGGATTGTGGTAGTGCCTGGGTACTCCAGTCTCTGTTGACCTCTAGGGCACACTGCAAGGATGTATATTTACCCAGGCTTTTCTGAACTAAGAGGAATCAGTAGAGTGACAGGTCTTCATTTTATAGACTTGGTTTGTTTTAATAATAGCTCAACCTCTATGTTTTTCATTTATTTCTAAAATATGTGCACCTGCCCGCTGGGATAGGCACAGTTCTATGCCCCCAACAGTAAGCAATAAAATAAATACTTGGCCCCCTTTTCGGCAGGCTCAGCTGAGAACCCAAGGACAGAATCGGTCACAAAGTCTGAGCTACCTTCTATGTCAGGCAGAGGCAAAATTCTGTACCTGAGCAAAACTGTGAGTCGGCACCCTGTGTGAATGTGCCATGTTTACAAGAAGGAAAAGCTTTCTGCAGCAAAATGACCATTTTCCATTTGCAAAAGCTCAAGGCAAGAAGGAGACAGCTTTCGCTTTCCTGCAAAACCAAGGAAGTGTGAGTTTTCTGAAGGTGGTGCGAAATAGTTTCAGACAGCTCTAATTAGCGGGGCAATGAGCAGGGGAAGCTGACACTGCTGCTGCCTGTGTTGTACCTGTTCTGGGGATAAAGAGAGACTGTCAAGCCAGCACCTTTCCCCAGCATTATATTCAGTTCACTGTTTATTTGAAATGTGTTGAATGAATTACCCAAAGAAAAAGGAACAAGCATTTTCTGCAGATTGTGCACAAGCTGCTAGTATTGTGCTTTAAACGCTGTTTTGGATGGGACCACAGATATTCAGTTCGCAGGAGGGCATATTTGCCATTGTGTGCTCAAAACTTTGAGCACCCATCCCTGATTAACACCAGCAGATGTGGCAAAGCCAACGCCAAGTTCAGCAAGTTGAGAAATGTACCTCCCAGCAAAAGTGATGTGATATTTAGGGCCCCAACCTGCAATCCTTGTGCATTCAAAACTGGCCCTGCGGTCAGCAAGAATTCTGAATGTCTACTGCATGCAAGATCAGACACTCTATCTGTAAGGAGCATCAACTGTAGTAATAAAGCCCAAGCCTGGACATACTTTCTGTGGAGCATAGTTCTTACTGCTGTGAATAGCCCTATTTAATTGTAGTAGCAACCACTATGCCCTGGATAGGACTTCCATAATGCTTTCTATCGAGGGTCTCAAAGAGATGTACAAACCTGCTCTGGGAGGCAAGTTGATATTAAAATTCCTGTGGCAAAACTGAGGCACAAAGGGCTCAATTGGTTTGCTCAAGGTCACAGAATTAGTCTTTAATAGAGCCCAGGTCTCCGGACTCCATATCTTATGCTTTAACAACAAAGCCATCCTTCCCCTCACTAAACTAGATATTTTAAAATATATATTAAGCTTGCAGAGCGGTATTTATTTAGTCATTTAAAGTGTAAAACAACTGAAAATGCTGAATGCTCTTTAAAGGTCTGATCCCGCTTCCAGTAAAGTCAGTGACACAATTTCCCATCATCTTCAACAGAATCAGGAGTAGGCCAAAGCCGGGATTCCACTGGTCACTGTAAATGTTTGAGGGAAAGCGAAGGTTACCTCGTGGACATATTCCTTCCTCCTTGGTCCACCCCCACGAGCATAGAGAAATAAGAGGTCACCCCAAAACAAGCAGCAAATGGATGCCAAAAGAAAATCCATGTGAAGGATACTGACTAAAGAAAATAAATATATAACAATATAGGAAGCAATATCACAGCTAGAATATTGGTTGTCAAAGAGGCTTTTTAAATGGCCTTTCAGGCAGATAGATATCCCAACCCACGCTATCCCATGACACACATAATACCACCATGTTGTTGAAAGCATCCCACCTTTCATCCAAGGAACACCCAGTGTTCCCAAATATTCATTAATCCCCCCAACTCCACTGAGAGAAGATGACGACTATTCTATGCATCTTACATATACATAAACTGAGGCAAAGAGCTCTTCCCTGTCCTTTCCCAAAGTCAGTCAGGGGTAGAGCTGAGAACAGAACCCTGGAGGTCCCAGTCCTTGTAGAAATAACGTTGGAGCAGAGCTATTAAGTCCATCTTCTTGCCACTGCAGGAGGATTCCCTAGTCTCCACTCTCCGGTGCTCCACACAGTCTAGTTTTCAACGTCCCAAACAATGATGTACCCACCACTTCCCTTAGAGACCACTCCATGATCTAACAGGGGACCCTCAATCCCATGCTAATTCTGGAGCTCATGGACCACCTCCATCTCCCTCTTTCGCAGCAGGAAACACCACGCAGCCCAATTTTCTTCTCTGGCACAAGGCAAGCAGGGAGAAGACAAATCATGGCCTGATTGCCCAATACATGCACCTCCAGCAGCTGGGTGCATCACAAATCGAAAGATCAGTCCTACCTGGCATGTCACCTTCGACACTAACCTCCCAGTATTGTATTGGCACACAGGAGAGCAGAAGTCAATGGGTCATCAAAATGTTAGTGCCATGAAGTTGCTCTTCAATTCTGTTACTTAACATAACCACCTTTCTGACAGTTACTACATCCCAGCTTCTTTATTTTGCAACCTGCCATACAGTTCTGATGAGACAACAGCACTGACAACCTGCAGATTCTTTAGCCAAGAGGCCTTCTTCAGACGGTTGAAAATGCAGAAATAAATGCATTAGGGCCGAAAAGGTGACGTGGTCAGAATGGCAGCTCTTACCTGGCTAGCTACGGCAGTCTACGCACTTTCCTTTAACCCTCTGAGCCAGATCCAGGAAGGAGCAGAGCACTCTCGGCTCTCAGCAAAATCACTTGAGGTTGCTTAGATCCTTGCAGGATTCTGACTTTTCTTGATGGACTAAAACGTGCAACCTACTTGCTGATGTGGTACCATCTGACTCCAGATGACAACCCCATGAAATTTACCAGTACTCTTCATGGTATGTACTTTTTTATTTTGTGACAGTTATTTCACTAAATGTTATATGTTCATGTTGGTCTATATACATACATAAATTAACTACAGGTCTCCTGATATTTATGTTCTTAGCCCATTCTTCTCAACAGCAATTTATATGTGAGGTTTCTTCTCTCTCTCCCAGCAATTGCAATTGTAAACTTCTCTTTGTGATAATAGCTAAAGAGCAGACAGAGCCTGCCTCTTGAATGGCAAAGGATTTGCCCCAGAAAAGCCTACTTTAAAAAAAAACTATTAAATGTTCATTATAGAGCTAAGTATAACTAGCATGTCACATAGCCTTTAATGGGAAAAAGGTCTATTAACCTGATGAGTGAGTACCTATATAGGGAATCTGAATCATCTTGAGATATGCATTGCATATATTTATAATTCATTGACCAAATTGGAATCTGTCCTAAGGAGAAATTCGTTGTTCATTTTCCACTGCACCACAGGGTTCTCACCACATCCTGGGCCATGGTGTGGTGGTGTGGTGTCTGAGAATTAAAGCCAAACTAAGGGCCAAGCTCACATTCCAAACCTAGTCAAAATCATTCAATGCAAACAAAAAAAATCAAAGATCATCAAAACATGAAATTTTAAAACCATATACCAGCTTTTCTAGACGGCAATAATGAAATTCCAGGGCAAGAAGCAGTAATAAATAAACCAACACTTTCCTGTTGAACTAATTTGACATCTGTATTTGAAAATAATGTGATGAAGTCTAAGATATAGAGTATTTATACAGTACAGAACAAACACAATTTGTTACTTTAAGAAAAACTAAATATGGTGGAAGAAAAAACTTCAGAAAATTAGAACACCATTTTGACAGATGCCAAACTTTTCAATAGTTATTGCACATCCCTGCTAGCCAGTCTATTCCAAAATCCATACACATGTCAACAAAATATCTGTCTCTGCATTTATAAACATGTTATCTGCTGTAGGAAAGCAGTGCATCGGATGCAATTTAGGGGCTACAGAGTTAATGGGGCCAGAAATTCATGCTATTACAAGGTCTTTCATTCAGTAGATTGGCTGCAGTTATCAAAGAAAAGCAAGGACAAAAAGAAACATTAAATATGAAAAATATAAGAGACTGACAACAAAATACTTTAGTGAGCTATAATGCGACTGAAGCACAAACAAAAAGAACAGCGAAATCCAATTTCAAAACAGACTCTGAATTCAGTCGCAAATTGTATCAAATCAGCTCGTGTTTATTTGACTTTCTGACACCAAGGAGCGTGTTATGCAGCTGCACCGTTCCACCAGAACCCTGGATGCTATCTCCCTAATCACCTGCATGCTTGTACTGCAACCAGCCTAGAGGTGATGGATGCAGTCAATACGGATTGCCATTGAGGTGTTAGAGCACAATTGACAACGTCCAGCAGGAGTAAGTTACCAGGATAGGTCATCGTCACAACTGAAAGAAATTCTGTTCCAGGCAGCATTCGCACTCTTCAAGGAAATCGAAGATCAAAGACACAAATGGGGTTCACCTCACAAGAGTTGGCTAGCGTTCTCTCTCTCAAAAAAAAAAGAAAGCAGAACAACCCACCGGAACAGAAACGATCCACATATAGAAAAACAGCCACCGAGAAAGTCAGCTTGCAACCCTCGAGTTACATTTCTGTGGCTGTTGACATGGGGCAGCGAGGAAGGCGTTGTTTACATGAGTTGCGTGCCTGCCTTACACTAGGAGAAGCAGCGTTCAACATGCAGATCAGGAGTTTTTAAAACAGAGCAAGTCATATTCAGCAAATCAAATTCAATTCCCCCCCCCCGCACCTGCTCCCCTCGAGTCTCACCTCCCCAAATCAAGCCTGCCAGCATTTCCCAGTCACTAAGGGGAGAGACAAACGGTCTCCAGGTTCAGGTACCTATTCCTGACTCAGAACCCCACAGACACAACAAACACACGACAAACACTAAACTTCTTTTTTTTTTTACGTGTAACCTCGGGGCGATGCTGGGATGGCAGGTCTCCAGCAGCACATGCCAGCCACCAAACGCAGTTCCCAAACTGTTTGGTGGTGCGCTAGGCAGAGGGAGTCTGCTGGCTGTCCATTCCCATCTGCCTGGCCCCCAGCAGCCTCCGACACCCCACACACCCAGACTAACCCCCACTAATTCCTGCAACAGCCGTAGACGGTAGAGAAGAGGAAGGCAGCCCCAGCCCCAGGCAACTCACCGCAGTCTGCGCACAGGATCCTGCCCACATCCTTTTTGAGGTTCTTGCCGCTGGTGTCCAGGGGGGCGAAGGATGTCCTGAAGACCAGGGGCTGCTCGGTGGGTTCCAGGAAGAAGATGTAGCGGTGGTTCCTCTTCACTTTGAAGCAGGGCGCCGGGGAGCCCGCACTGCCCACGCTGATCAGTTGCTCGCGCTGCAGCCCCCCGCTGTTGCGGGGCCACAGGTCCAAGACTTTCACCAGGACCCCCCCAGCGGAGGCAGGGGGCTCGCGGGTGCCATTGCCACTGCCGGCGGGGGGGGCAGCGCCTGCACCTTTCCCTCCACCACCACGGCCGCGGTGTACGCCTGGTCCTGCACTGATTTGAGGCTGGGGGAGTAGCAGGCGAGAGACACCCCGAAGAGCAGCATGGAGAAGCCGGGGGTCGGATCGCGCCTCATGCCGTCGGCTGCGGCGGCTGCTGCGGCGCCGGCTGCTGTCCGGGCTGCAGGGCTGCGGCTGCTCGGGAGGCGCAGCGGGGCGGGCGCTGCTGCTGCTGCTGCTGGCGCACGGAGCCTCCTCCAGTCGCGGCGCTGAGCAGCAGACCTGCCGCATCTGGCCAGGCCATTTGGGGGGCTGCCGCTTCGCCGCCGCTTCGGGAGGGGAAACAGAGGCGCTGGAGGACCGGAAACAGCGTAATCTCAGCGCCCGCTGGCCGGCCGGCACCTCCCCGGGCGGCGCAGCAGCCTCCCCAGGCACCAGGGCGCGGAGCTGCGCGGCACATGGACCGTGGGGGCCCTGCCCCCAAGCACCGGTGGAGGGAACCGGGGAAGGCAGGGGGCTGCTCGCCCGCGCCGGGCAGGGGACCCGAGTGAGCTCTGGGGCCCCGAGGGGATGCCCCGGCCCCCGCAGAGCGCACCCGGCTTGTGCTGACCTGCTTCGCCGGGGATCGCGGCTCCCCGGGGAGCCCCTTGGCTGGGCAGGGTCTGGCCCCGTTGCCCCGCGCGGCCCCTGCCTGAGTCCTGCCTGGGCCAGCCAGTCCCAGCTGCTGGGCAGGTGAGTCCCAGCGGAGCAGGTGACTGCCCCGATCCCCGGGGATCTTGCCCCCAGCGCCCTTCGGAAGGGATCCCGGGGAACCCTGAGCGCGGCGCTCTGTGCAGGGGATCTCCGGGATTCCCTGCCCCCCGGGAGAGCCGGTGTCAGCGCTCCCCGGAACCTCCCCGCCCGGAGCCTGCTCCCTTGGGGGAGGGTGTCGGGGACTCCCCGCCCCCTCGGGGATGCAGCCCTCTGCAGGGCTGGGCGGGGACGCCCGGTGTAGGGGACCCCCGTATGGTGGGTGGAGGCTGCAGGGAGAGTCGCGAGGCAACCCGCGGTCTCCCGAGCAGATGCTCAGCTCAGGGCTTCCCTTGGCGACCCCTCCAGAAGGTGCCACATTGATGCGCTCTCTGTCACCTACCTCTATGCCATGCCTCGAGGCCGAGCGTCCCCGGGAGCTGCCCCGCGAGCCGCAGAGAGCCCCGGGCAGCCGGACTGCTGATGTCTCGCCCCTCAGCCTGCAGCAAGGACACGAGGAGCAGGTGGCTGCAGCAGGCGGGGGTGGGTGGGGGGAAACCTACCAGTAAGTCACTGGGTTTACATTTGTGTTGCCAAAGGGCCTGGCTGACTCCCCAGCATTGCCCTGTTCTATTGGTGCGACTTGCAATTGCAAGAGGGGTGGGCTGGAAATGCGGGCAAAGCCGATCTCGCCTAGAGTGGAGAGGGTGGCCGGGAGGGGGGTCCCCAGGATGGGAGGAGGGAGGGAGAACTAGATAGCTGATTTCTGCAGCGCTTGGCATTCCGATCACATCCTCTCAAGCCCTGCCCATCTCCACACTGCATTACAGCTCCGGTCAAAACACGAGCATTTCCTTCGTCAACCCGACAATCCGCTAAGCCACATTCGGGGCAGGAGGAAGCGCCGTTTAACCGGTTGCAACGGAATATTATCTAGTTCAGCTGCTGCCGGGGCACCAGCCCTGCAGATTTCACAACTCCAAGCTAACAACGGGGTTGGGCCGCCCTGCCCTACACATCTACTTTCCTGTCTCAGGATTACTTCGGAGCTGGAATTTTGTGCATGACACCCCAGTCAAATGCAGCTTAAAAAAAAAAGAAACTGGCAAAAGAAAAGATAGCTGCTGAAGAGAAAATGGCTTCTTTCATGTGGTGACCCCTGCTGTCTCTTTTTAATAAACAAGCAAGATAATAACAAGACTCTCCCACTGCAGTGGGTTTCCAGGAGAAGGCAATTTAAACTCAGAAAAGTTGTTTATTTTTAAAGATGATGCTCCCCTGTCTGTATTCCTTATAATCCCATAGGAAATCATTGCTGAAGGTGCCAGCCGCAGCAGTTTAAGAAAAGTAGTTAATAGCAGAGGATTTTCAAAAAGGCAAATTCTGCCCCTGGAATCCCGAGCCAGTGGGTTCCCATTGTTGTGGTAATTGACGCAAGGGGGTGAGATAATCGCATACATTGTGATCCCTGCCTGCTTTGCTGCCATCTGTCATTGACTTCAGTTGAAGTGGGATCAGATGCAAATATGTGCATTGTTATTATTATGTCAGTAGAGTTCTTGGCAGCGATACAATACACAGATAAAGGCAGGGGCCCTGCCCCACCAAGCTTACACTCTAAAAGAAAAGTCAGGCAAGAATTCACTGGGAGACTCCAAAGATGGTTATAGCCAATAATGATTTTTTAAATAAATTGGGGTGATAGATAATGATGGTGTAATATGTACCTTTGGATCCCCGGGGCCCTCCATGTTTATGATTGCGAATCTATATCTCCAAAAAAAAAGTGGAATTATCCAGAATGGGTGGAATTAATAAATGTTCAAATTCCTTGTATTCTACCATTTTTCCCATGCAGAGCCGAATTCAGTGTTATGCATGTACATTTCTCCCAGAAGTTACCACTGCCTTTTGATAGTGCATGAGTCCATTCAGATCTTCAGCGGATAGGAAGCCATCTATTTTATTTAAATGCATACTCCCACTACCAAGGATACTTAAAGCACGTCCTCCTCTGGGTAATTCTTCAACTTCAAGCAATGTATTGTGTTATCAGGCACATTTATCATAGAGTCTCAGAAACATTTTTCATTGTTAAGACCTTTGCTAAACATATTTCTCTTTGGCTTTCTGTCCTCCCCCCCCCCAATTCAGATTACCCTGCGTTGTTTCTAGGTCCAGAGAAACCTGCAGTAAGGCCCAGTTCAGCAAGATACTTAAGCACCTGCTTAATTTTAAGCAGGACTAATCTCATTAAAAGCAAGTTAAGCAGGTGCTTAAATACCTTGCTGAATCAGAGCCTAAGACTCACTTCCAGGAGGCAACCCGCTGACTTTTTTTCCATTTCTAATTGTTCTGGAATTAAGGCTGGAATTAAACCATCCTTAGCCATACTTAAGGCCAATACAGTTGTTTTGTTCTGTCTTTGTTCAGCACCTAACACAACTGTTTCCTAGTCGGTGAGTGGGGTCCTAGTTGCTACTACAAGAAAGTAACAAAAAATAATTCTAATAAAATGTTCAATGGCACCATTAGTTAGGCACCTTATTCCCTTAGGCGTCTTTGACAATCCCAGCCTTTCTGCTAGTAGATGCCACCCCTGGAGACTGAAGCCCTCTCTTTACTCAAAGAACAGATACCATGTGGGCAGTGGTGATGAAAGCAGCCCTTCTCAAGTGCCCTGCAGGACCATGGCTAAAGGTGATGGGGTGGTTCATGCTTCATGCCCATTCTAATCTTTAGCCTCTCTGCACTGAGACTGCCAATAAAGGTGCCAGTGAATGCCAGCTATGTTGGTGGTTCATGCAGTGTGGACATCTGTCCACTAAGCACTCCCCTAAGACTTACCAGCTTGTCTCACATAGGTCAACAAGCAGCAATAACTCTCAGTTGCTACTAACTTGGACTGGATTTGATCTGTTGACCTAGCCCAGTGGCTCTTGATTTTTTTTCCATACCAGGACCACCCTGGGACTCCCCCTCCCATCTAGGTGGTGGTCATCCCTCCAAGCTGGTGGATGAGGCTTTTTTTAAGCAACTAACAAAATCATCCAAAGCCCAAGATTTGGTGGTGATGGGGGACTTCAACTATCCGGATATATGTTGGGAAAATAACACAGCGGGGCACAGACTATCCAACAAATTCTTGGACTGCATTGCAGACAATTTTTTATTTCAGCTTTTTATATTGCTAATAACAATCTTGCTTTGTTTTCTTCTTATTCTATAAAGAATGGCCTAAGA